GTGTGTGTGTATATATATATATATATATATATATAGGTTGAACAATTGTAATTTTCATTACTCTTTGTAGTTATAGATAATTATAATTTGTATTTACGTGTTATATGAAGGAGAGAGAAAGAGAGGAGAGAGGCAAGAAAAGCGAAAAAAGATATATATATATATGTGTGTGTGTGAGAGAGAGAGAGATAAAAAGAGCTTAGGGGAGCGCGAGCGAGGCTGGGAGAGAGGCAGAGAAGTAGAGAAATGTGAATTGTATATGTATATATATTAAAAAAATTATATAATATACATATATATTTGTATATCCTGACGAATTATGCATATAGAAAAATGACTAATTATATAAATTCGAAGTCAATCCACAATTAATGTGTAATGTTAGTCGCGAATGATAATTATAACAAATTATAGCTATGATGAGTAATTAAATAGTATACATTTATATAGCCGCATAATTTTTCCATTTTATAATAACATTAGATTTTTTTTAAAATGGTTATTTTCATATATAAAATTAACTTAATAGATATTTTGTTTGATTTGTTCAAAATTATAAATGATATATTACTTACACGTGTTTGTTGTTCTAAGCAAATTTTAGATGATATAATCATAGGAGGGTTATAGGTAGATGTACGTTGTAACTAATCAACATCCAAGCATAACCAATTCAGTAATATATACATATATACAAATAAGTAAAAGAACAAAGTATACTACTATAGATATTATAGTATGTGATACATATTATGTATGCGTGATCATCTCCGATTTAACACTAGATTTTACATTAAATTTTATATTAAGTGTAAAATTTGGTGTTAGTAAGTTTTAACGCGAATCTTCAGACCAAATCTATAAATTCATTTTTTAAATATTATAATATTATTTAATTATATAAATTTTTAATTAAACATTATATAAATGATATGTTTTAATTAAATTTTGCACATTTTATTATTTTTTATGTAATATTTTTATAAGATTAATTTAGATATAAAAATTGTTTTTTATAAGTTAATTCTTCTGTATGACTTTCTAAAAAAGATCAAAATTTTGTTAATTTTACAATAAATTATATAAACTATTTAACCTTTGAAAATTTAAAAAATACGAGCATATAAATTTTTAAACAAATAATATAATATAGTTAAAAATAATTGAAAATAATAAACATAAAGTACAATAAAACATCATAACTTACAAAGATTATAATAACAATTTAATAATATAATATATTCTTTTCGGACTCATCAATACTATTAAAATATAAATTTTACGGGGTCAAAAAATTATTGTGGTTATCTTTGTAGCTATTGAAATTGGTGACTTTTTCTTTTCGTCATTCGACTTTATTCTTGTCGAACAAATTCGCGAACATTTGAATCAGAATATCACCACATTTAATAATATAATTTATTTTATAGTAAACGATTATAATAATATGAATTATATATGGTGAATTTTTAGAAAGAATTTATATTCTAAAATAAAAAATATTAAGAAATAATAATATATAATGAAGAGAGAAAAAATAGTGTAAAATTTGATGAAATGGATTAGAGTTGATTACACCAAATTTGGTGTAATAAATGATGTTTGGGTTCGGAGGTCAAACCATGATTTGAAGATAGGCGACACCGTTATGACTCTAAGAGTGACTTAATGGTTAGGTTAGGAGTAACACAAGGGTAAGTTAGCATTTTTTAAAAGTTAAGGGGAGTAGTGCCAAATAAGGTGAAAAAATGAGTTTTAATAAAAACATTTTTTTTTTAAAAAGGTTTAATTCTAAATTAAAAGTTGATTGTAAAGTTTAAAAAAAAGGTTGCCTTCAGCGGGAATCAAACTCGCGCCCAGTCGTAGTCACTCTCTAACTATGTGACTTCAATCAATCCGCCCAAACACTTTTTAGTCATAGGGGTGCACAATTAATTATACAATCGTTTATTCGCTAATATATATATATATATATACACACACACACACACAATGGTTGATAGGTGTTGATCCGATTTACCTATGTCAGTTCGAACTTGGTGGGTCGTCGTTTGTGTGGAGAATCTCTCTCGTTACTCATGATTTCTCTCAGTTGATCTGATGCGTCAAAGATAGAATGGAGTGGGCTATACGCCGACCCACGTTACAAACTTTTTTCTCTTATGAGATTTCGATTGAATAAACAATGGTTATTTCAAACACCGTCTACTGTCCACCTACTGATCAGTGGGTTTCATGGCGAATAGAAATCGAGACCTGAGAACGAGGCTGTATGAGAGAGTCCAGCATAACAGAAATCATCTAAGCTGATAAGGACACAAAAAAGGAGGATGTTAAGGAAGAAGGTAATGGAATTGAAAATACAGACTGAAGCAGAGAAGAAACAGAATGTTGGTCTCTCTCTCTCTCTCTCTATATATATATACACACACACACACACACACACATTTATTTTTCATTTTCTGGAGAAGTCGGGAAGTCATTATCAAAACATTTTTTATAACATGTTTTGAAATAACATTATTGTAATGACCCTTCTTGTCATTTTTAGTGTTTTATC